CTTAAAGCCAGGACATCCAGCTTCTTCTCATTCATAACATCCACAATCATCTCTTTCTTATCATTTGCACAACATCCACGCACATTCAGACTTCCCACTTTGACAATTTTCTTCTTATTCTTTTTAGTAATCTTTACAAAAATTATTATTATTATTTATTATTATTATTAAGTGTGAATGTCATAGACTATGATACTCATGATTACATCTTTGAATTCACCTCATTTAGCCCAGTTATATTCAAGTTTGCTTGGGGAATGTTTTGTGGAAAGAAAGTTGGATAAGAAGTGGTAACTTCAGATAAGTGATGGTTAATAAGCGGTGAGAAAGGTATTTTCAGATCAGGGTGAATGCAGTTGAGTGGTGATAAAGATTTTAACATGGTGCTGGAGTGTAAATAAAGTATATTTATGAAGGGATTCCAGGAAGCTGATAAGCCAGACTTAATGATTGGAAATGGGAAGCACAGTGCCTGCACTCTAAGAGAGGGCTGGGGATGTTACAGCTTGAAGATTGAGACACTTATGCAACATATGGGAATCTTTATTCAGATTCCCATATGTTGCATAAGTGTCTCAATCTTCAACTTGTCGGTTTTTCAAACCATTCATCACACATTACAGCTTGGAAGATCATTTGAATTGTGATGTTTATGCCTTTTTTTGTCAAGATATGTATGGAATGAATGATGGTGAATGTTTCTTTTAAGTCACTCTAACTTGGTAGGAAACAGGCTAATGTGATAAAAATAATTTATACCTTGCTTCATGGATGGTTAAAAATGTAAATGTACCTGTGGGTAAAATGTGTAGCTTTTAATGGTGTGCTAAGAATATACAAGTGACTTGCATTATAACAAGACGGGAAGAATAGTAGTGCATTCATTCATGATGTAAGTGCCAGTAGACAGCCTCAAGTTCCTGACAGTAGAAACAATATGGAGTGTTGTTGCTCAGGTGTTTCCAATACCTACAGTGCTCGTCACGGCATTATGCTGGGTGAGCGCCCTGGCATAATGGCGTGCCGAAAATCAAAAACCTAACAGTTAACCCTTAAACAGTCCAAACGTATATATACATTCTCTCCTGCAGTGCCCCGAATATTTTGAAAAAAATAAGAATTTTTTTTTTCATTGAAATACAGAGAAAAATTTTCTAAGTGTAACATGATTAAAATAAAAACAATCTGGGTCAGTACTTACTGAGATATGAGGCTGCAAAGTTGGCACTTAATGCTCACCTGACGGCAACATCGAGTCCTGCTGCTTGAGGAAGTATTGCCGATATACCATTTTTTCTCATTTTTATATTTATATAGTATAGTAGTACCAACACTCTTATATGGATGTGAAGCTTGGGTGGTAAATGCAGCAGCGAGGAGACGGTTGGAGGCAGTGGAGATGTCCTGTCTAAGGGCAATGTGTGGTGTAAATATTATGCAGAAAATTCGGAGTGTGGAAATTAGGAGAAGGTGTGGAGTTAACCCTTTGACTGTTTCAGGCCCCTCTCTGAAACTGTCATTCTATGTCGCTCAATTTTTGAAAAAAAAAAAAAAATTATTTTTTCTTAGGAAATGATAGAGAATCTTTTCCCGATTGTAATGACACCAAAAGTTCGAAATTTGGTCGAAAACTCGTGGAATTATGCTCCCGCGAAGTTAGCGGTCTCGGCGACATATGCGTATCGGCGATTTCGCCGACTTTGAGCCCAATTTTCAGCCAATTCCATTGTTCCAGTTGACCAAACTCATAGCTATTTCTTTAGAACTCCATTTTATCTATCAGCTGAGTACAAGAAACCTCCCATTTACTAATTTGGACTACCCAATATGGTGGTCAGAAATTGGCAATTTGGCCAATTTCACGCAAAATAAAAAAGATGCCAATTTCAAAATAGGGTCCAGAATAAACAAGGTAGACATTCGTGGCACTAAAATAACATATGCTCTGTTCATTAGTCACATCTCTAGGCCCCTCTTATATTATTATTGCTTTCTATTTTGATTTTTTATTCATACAAAAAAATACAAAATTTACTGTTATGCAGACGACTGCATTATTGTAAAAATGGTATAAATAATATCAGTGCACTAGTGAAAGAATATTAGACTCCCCAGTTGACGTGTATTGGACGTGTGGTGTGATTTATGTACTCTTGAACATTGGTAAAAATCGAACATTTCCGCTACTTTGAGCTCAGTTTCAAGGTCGTTTTCATCGTAAAAGTAATGAAAATCATCTCTATTTCTGTAATATGTTTTCCATTTTATCACCTAAGACCATGAAAACGCGAATACAACGATAAATACTATACGAAAATACACCTCAAAGTCGGCGTTTTATTCCAAAAAAACGATCAGAGTTTTTTTTTTCTCATTACGCAATGTGTGCTGCAGGATTTTTTTTATGTGGTGCACACTGACCACACAGACCCATTCTCTCACATGTGGGCCTACCAGCTTTCTCCCACTTGATTTGAAGCCGCTAGAATTATTGAGTATATATACGTCAGAAACATTGGCTCGTAAGACGTATTTATACGTCGAAAACAGTCAAAGGGTTAATAAAAGCATTAGTCAGAGGGCAGAAGAGGGGTTGTTGAGGTGGTTTGGTCATTTAGAGAGAATGGATCAAAGTAGAATGACATGGAAAGCATATAAATCTATAGGGGAAGGAAAGAGGGGTAGGGGTCGTCCTCGAAAGGGTTGGAAAGAGGGGGTAAAGGAGGTTTTGTGGGTGAGGGGCTTGGACTTCCAGCAAGCGTGCATGAGCGTGTTAGATAGGAGTGAATGGAGACGAATGATACTTGGGACCTGACGATCTGTTGGAGTGTGAGCAGGGTAATATTTAGTGAAGGGATTCAGGGAAACCGGTTATTTTCATATAGTCGGACTTGAGTCCTGGAAATGGGAAGTACAATGCCTGCACTTTAAAGGAGGGGTTTGGGATATTGGCAGTTTGGAGGGATATGTTGTGTATCTCTATACGTATATGCTTCTGAGCACCTCTGCAAAAGCAGTGATAATGTGTGAGTGTGGTGAAAGTGTTGAATGATGATGAAAGTATTTTCTTTTTGGGGATTTTCTTTCTTTTTTTTTGGGTCACCCTGCCTCGGTGGGAGACGACCGACTTGTTGAAAAAAAAAAAAAAAAAAAATAATTTTTATGTTCTGATAATTAGAATTTATTGTATTTCTTGGCATTTCATAACCAATATTTGTTCTGACACTAATATTAGGTACTGAAATTGTACTCAAATTGTCACAAACACATTGACAGGTGGACATTTACACCTGCCTTGGTCATTTACTATTGTCTAAGAATATATACAAAGTATTTATAGGTCCCAGCAATGTTTTGGATACATGGGAGTATAGAAGAAGAAGAAGGAAGCAGGAAGAAGGTAGAAGCTCCCTCGAAGCAATGTGATAAGCATCCGGGAAGGCAGTGATGAGATATGGGATGACATTTGATGGGTGCCAGCGAGGGTGCAGAGATAAGGGATGACATTTGAGGAGCTCATAATCTCTGATTATCTGTCTCTGTCTTGTCTCTCTGTCTGCTTGTCTCTTCCCATCTCTCTGCTTGTGTCTGTCTCAGAGAGAGCCACTGTGAACCAACAGGTATTCATATGCATTATATCTACAAGCACAGTATAGCACTTTGGACTTTTTAGGTTATCCTAGGTAATATACACTATAATTGTATTTTTGTGCACCTGTGAGACAGATAAAAAGAGATAGAGAGACAAATAGACAGACAGACAAAGAGAGACAGACCCTAAACTTGGGGTTAACATCACTTTCCTCTTAAAAGAGGAATGTTAATATGACATTACATCAGTGAATCCTCGGTGTTTGCTGCACTGTTTGCTTGAGCTGGCGCTCAGTTTAACTGGTGCTCCCACAGGGCACTAAGTGGTCCCAGATTTTTTTAATATGGTGCTCACCGAGTGTTAAGACCCATTCTATGCTGACCAGGCATCTCAAGCCAATTATGCCAAATTTGGAGACAGGAAAAATAAAACGTATATATATGTTTGAGGCGCTAGTGGTAAGAACGTATATATACGTTTGAACCGTTTAGGGGTTAAAGGAGGAGTTACTCTCTAACCTCTTCTTTAACACAATTAAGGTATGAACAGAAGTCGTCTTCGAGGGGTCAGGCCAAGGTATGGCAGATGGTAACTCGACACCGCCACCAACCTTGAAATGCTGCACCCAGTTCCTCACTGAGCGCTCACACACACACTAATATTCTCCACTAATTCTTTCGTCTGGTGCTCAGCTTTGTGAAGCCCTATGATTTGAGCTATAGTTTCAGGTGTTAAAGACTTCCTTTTACCCATAATCTAACATGTATAGCCCCAAAACCAAAGGGAATGCTGGACAAAAGATGGGGCAGATGAGAGACAACAGTGCAACACTTCCTCTTACCATGGCAGCCAAATGAGCAATGAAGTCACTGTGAAGTGTGGCAGAAGGCCGTGACATCATGCTAATGGCTGCTACCCGGCAGAATGCACTGACGAAAAACATCCCCCTGTATGGTAGGCCTTTGATTGTCATCACGGCATTATGTTGGGGCGTTCACCTGGCATAATGCCATGAGGAGCACTGTATGTGGGTTTTCAGATGAATATTTGATAAATTTATTATGCTGCACTTTCAGTGAAGTGTGAAAAAAGCTTTACAATATATACCATCTTACTTTGCATCTCAATTATATACATGGGAATGAAGTTGTATGTTTATATGTAATACAGTGGTACCTTGAGTTTCTAACAGCTCCCAACTCAAACAATTATGTAAGTGTATTTTTGTAAGTGCTTTTGTAAGTGTATTTTTGGGGGTTTGAAACAGACTAATCTAATTTACATTATTCCTTATGGGAACAAATTCATTTGGTATCGGCACTCGAACAGCCTTCTGGAATGTATTAAGTTTGTAACTCGAGGTACCACTGTATATGTATTAAAGTTTTTCACTTTTTTCTCGTTTTAGCCTTCCAATATCTTCTTTTCACTGGATGGTAGAGTGAAGATCGGAGACTTTGGTCTGGTGACAAGTATAACAGAGGATGAACATGAGTTGAGAACTCCCTCAGACTCTCTACCATTGATATTTTCTTCAGGAAAGAATCACACACATCGTGTGGGGACCCAGTTGTACATGAGCCCAGAGCAGGTGTGTATGTGATACATCTGTTTACTTCAACAAGTTATTTTATTGCTCATTCTTATTTAAGTTTGTATTTATTTTTTATTGGCAAGAGTGCCAATTGACTTCATTAGTTAAAATGTTCTTTAACCCCTTAACTGTCCAAACGTAGATCTACATTCTCTTGCCCAGCGCTCTGAATATTTTGAAACAAAAAAAAAAAATCAACTTTTTTAAAGAGTGCATTTTTCTACATGTAATAGGCAAAAAAAAATTTAGGGTGAATACTTACTGAGATATAAGACCGCAGAGTTGGTGCTGGATGCTCACCTGATGGCAACATGGAGTCCTGGTGCTTGCAGAAATGTTCCTGATATTCTTTTTTTTTTTTTTAATTTTTTTTTTTTTTTTTTTAATTTATATAATTTTTGCTCTGATAATTACAATTTGTAGTTGTACTTGTGATTTTATTGCCAATCTTTCTTTTGACACTAATATTAAGTACTGAAATAGTACTCAAATAGTCACAAACACACTGACAGGTGAACATTTTCACCTGCCTTGGTCACATATTATTGTCTAGTAATATATACAAAGTATTTATAGGTCCCAGCAATGTTTTAGACATGCTAGAGTATACAGTGGTACCTCGAGTTTCGGCCATAATTCGTTCCAGAAGGCTGTTCGAGTGCCGTTACCGAATGAATTTATTCCCATGAGGAATAATGTAAATTAGATTATTCCGTTTCAGACCCCCATAAATACACTTACAAATGCACTTACAATAATACACTTACATAATTGTTTGGTTGGGAGCTGTACAAAACTCAGGGTACCACTGCACATGAAACTCCTTGAAGCATCGTGTAAGAGGAGTGTCACTCCACTGCTGACAGTGCAGCAGTGGAGTGACACTTGATGATCATGTACTGCCTTAGCTTTATTTGTTTTCATTGTTGCACATAAACATGTCTCTCTATCTGTTTGTATCTGTCTCTCTGTCTAGCTCTGTCTCTGTTTATGTCTTTCTGTCTGCTTGTCTCTCTTTCTGTCTCAGATAGCTGCTCATGAAACAATAAGTACTGCAAACGATGCAGAGTTGTCACGTCTGATTCCTGAACAAGTGAAAACTGCCTATGTTATTTGCCAGTTATGCTTATTATGCTTTATATCTACAAACACAGTATAGCACTTTGTCTGGATTTTTTTTTTATGTTATCCTAGGTAATTTACACTATGTATATGATAAGATAAGATTTCGTTCGGATTTTTAACCCCGGAGGGTTAGCCACCCAGGATAACCCAAGTCAGTCAGTGCGTCATCGAGGACTGTCTAACTTATTTCCATTGGGGTCCTTAATCTTGTCCCCCAGGATACGACCCACACCAGTCGACTAACACCCAGGTACCTATTTGCTGCTAGGTGAACAGGACAACAGGTGTAAGGAAACGTGTCGAAATGTTTCCACCCGCTGGGAATCGAACCCGGGCCCTCCGTGTGTGAAGTGGGAGCTTTAGCCACCAGGCCAACGGGCCACCATTGTATTTTTATAATTGTATTTATGTGTACCTGTGAGACAGACAGAGATAGAGACTTAAATATTTAATGATTATGAGTTGCAGAAGGGTGATAAGGTGTAATATTAATATCTGCAATAAACGAGGTGTTTGAACAATAATGGTGTAAGTGTATATTGTTCCAGTAGATTGTAGATAATTTACATATAGTGATATAGTAGTAATGAAATATAATGAATGATTAAGAATAGATATATCAGTAGTACCTAACTGTTAATGCACTAATGCTATTATAGACAGTAAAAAAAAAAAGCTATAATCAGTAGCACCTTGCTGTGGAATGTTATTGCACTAACTCTGTTGTAGACTGCACACGATAGACAGTAAAAGAGTTACAAATAAAAATAAAAAAAATAAAATTGTGTACCTTTTAAGGCAAACAAGATGGTGCTCTTGAGGTGTCTAATAAGAGTATAAACTATAAGGTAGTGTTTGAACAACTTTGACAATTCACTACTGTCAGATTAACAAAATAGGAATGAAAATTAGGTTTTATAGAGAATAATTTGATAAAAAAAAAATTTGGGTTTGATAATAATACTGGTGGAAAGTAGGTACAAACTGCATTTTATTCCGACTTAGTGAGACCAGCATCACTTAGGAATTTTTTTAGTTTATGTTAAGTAGAAATAAAATATCTCCTTGTTGATTCCTTTTTAACTGCAATTTTCCCATTCCTTGCAAAGTTCTGGTGGATTTTTCAGTCATGTTGTAGCTTTCTTAGTTTATAGAGAAGATTTTGTCTTGTTTTAGTCAGGCACTCATTAACATATACATTACTTTTCATATTAGTAGACATTTTTAATAGGTCATTTCTTTGTGAGCTTGAGTTGCACTTTAGTATCTCTGATTTCTTTCCAGTTTGATAACCTATGACTTTACACTCCTTTATATCATCACTAGGTATGTTGAGACAAAGATGGTCTTGGGTAAGTTGTAAGGTGGTTTGTGTACATGTTTCCTGAGTTATAGTTGGTGGGAGAAGGTTGCTATTTACTACAATTGAGTCAGCTAGTTGTTATTGGTCGAAGTGGTCTTGGAAGCTGTTATAACATCGGTAAGGTTTAAGTCCACTCTTGCTCTTTCATTCTTGATGTTGGTATTTATTTGGTAACTTGATCTTTTAGGCAGTTGATGGATTCCTCAAACTAGGTGTGGGTGTTGCTTAGTTGTTCTAGCGTGTTTAGTTTATGTTCCAGAGTTGTGATCTTGCTGAGGTAGTGTGTGTTGGATATTTGTAGTTCCTTAATTTCCCGGGTTAATGTGTCATTGGAGGTTTTAAGTTCCTACATTTTCTGAGTTTACATGATGACTTTTTGATTCTGGATCCTGATAAGTTTAGCTGTTTCTGGGTCTTTAATGGTCATATCCTCAAATCCATATGTTTGTGGCAGCATCCATGATTATTGTTGTTGTTTGGTGAGTGTTATGGCTGTGGGTGGTGTGGGCTGCATCCTTCTGGCTGGGAGATGTTTTACTTGTAGTAATGCTTCTGTCACCTGTAGTATTACAAGTCCTTGGTTGGTTACTGGATCTTCTTTCGTTGCCCTAACCCCTTGACCATTGACAGTGGTTTCAGATGAATTGTAGGTGATGAGTAATGGGCAGATGTTGAGAAGCTTCAGTTTGCCTGGCAATGGGGTAGGTGGTGGTAGTACAAGTCTTCTTAGTAATATAGCATATTTTTGGGTGATTTCTGCAGCTGATTTATATCATTCTCGGTCTCCACATATTTTAGTGTTATCTGGGTCTTTACTAGGCCATTAGTGTTGTTAGGAACCTCAGGTGGTGGTGAAGAACATTACTTATGGAGGCAAAAAGGGAAATGTATTAAAGTATAGCACTGCCAATAACTTGCATGGGTGTGAAGCATGGGTTATGAATGTTGCAGTGAGGAGGAGGCTGGAGCCAGTGAAAATGTCATGTCTGAGGGCAATGTTTGATGTGAAAATTATGCAGAGCATTAGTAGTTTGGAGATAAGGAGGAGGTATGGGATACTAAAGTATTATCCAGAGGACTGAGGAGGGGTTATTGAGGTGGTTTGGACATTTAGAGAGAATGGGGCAAAATAGGAAGACTTGGAGGGAAGGCAGGGTAGGGGTCATCCTAGGAAATGTGGGAGGCAGGGGGTAAAAAAAAAAAAAGTTTTTGCATTCGAGGGGCTTGGACATTCAGTAGGAATTTGTGAACATGTTAGATAGGAGTGAGTGGAGGCATGTGGTTTTTATGACGATGTGCTGTTGGAATGCTTTCACGGTAACATTTCTGAAGAAATTCAGGAAAACAGTTAGCTGGACTTCAGTCCAGCTAACTGTTTTCCTGAATTTCTGGACTTTAGTCCAGCTAACCGGGGTGGGGATATTTGTGTTTGGAGGGGCATTTGAACTGTAGTATCTGCACACCTCTGGCAAGAGAGTGCTGGTAAGTGCAGTAGGTTTAAAGTTCATGTAGAAAGCCATTATAAAAATATTTTTTTGAAGAAACAGTATCTGGGGCTTGGAGAAGAGGGAGAAGGGGTAATAAAAAGGCATATAAGCCCTAATCACTATCTTTACAGTATGTATTACTTTGTATTGTTTTGCAGATTAATGGTCAAGTTTATGACTACAAGGTGGACATATACTCCCTGGGTCTGATCTTCTTTGAGATGTTGGTGCCATTTTCTACGGGTATGGAACGGCTTACTGTCATGACGCGTATTCGTGATGGAGAGTTTCCCGAGTGTTTTGAGGACCAATTTCCAGATGAGGTATGATTTCTTCGTCTTGTTATTTACGTAACAGGAAGTTTTTTTTAACTGATTAACTTGTTTGGTACGCTGCCTCCTCAAAAGTAATGTTGATATTTTAATGAACATGTTTATGAAGTACAGAAAGAGTATTTTTGCTTGCCTAGTTATGTTGGCTCCATATGTAGCTTTAAGAGCAGATATAAGACTAAGAGGGAGTGAATCTGACAAGTGGTAAGTTGAGAACTGGGGCTAGGAGCCGAGACTCGACCCCTGCAGCCACTTGTATGCAGTCACATATATGTGGCTGCAGGGTTTATTTGTCAGGACATTGTAAAAGGAGTGGAAGGAATTGTAAACCTTGAGGTATTTTGCACTTGTGAGCACAACATTAAACTGTAGATAAATGCTTCAGAGAACCAACAACTTGATTGTGACACTTGTGCGACACTTGGGTATCTTTATTTTAAAAATATTTTGCCAACAAGTGGCTTCCTCAATCTGATACAGATATGAATGTTGAAAGATAAGTAGTTTGAGGAAATCAAGTCCCTCAGCCTTCTCATCTTCCAATATTCATCTCTGTACTGGACTGAAGAAAGCACTCACTGGCAAAACGTTTCCACAGTAAAGATACCCAAGTGTTGCGCAAGTGTCTCAGTCATGAACATTTAATCATCCTCATTTAGCGACATCCTCGCTCACCAATGACTTAGACTTATGATGGGCTCTCTGACCAGTCTGCGTACCTAAATAATGTACAGTATGTATATTAGAGCTGATTTCCTCTATTCTGTTTATTACAATACGTATACATTACACTACTGTATAAACTTTAAAAATATACAGCCTCTCCTCACTTAATGACAGAGTTCCATTCTTAAGACCATGTTGGTAAATGAATTCGTCGCTAAGTGAGGAGCATACTATAATGGTAGTGGGTTTGTGTCATTCATCTTTAATATTGTTTTAATGTCACCTTTGCACCATTCATAACATGCTTAGTATGTTTTAAAATGTTTATACAGCATATATTGTTTTTAATAACACATTGACCGATTCCCACCAAGGCAGGGTGGCCCGAAAAAGAAAAACTTTCATCATCATTCACTCCATCACTGTCTTGCCAGAGGAGTGCTTTACACTACAGTTATAAAACTGCAACACTAACACTCCTCCTTCAGAGTGTAGACACTGTACTTCCCATCTCCAGGACTCAAGTCCGGCCTGCCGGTTTCCCTGAATCCCTTCCTAAATGTTACTTTGCTCACTCTCCAACAGCACGTCAAGTATTAAAAACCATTTGTCTCCATTCACTCCTGTCAAATACATACTTTATGCACACTTGCTGGAAGTCCAAGCCCCTCACACACAAAATCTCCTTTACCCCCTCCCTCCAACCCTTCCTAAGTGGACCCCTACCCCGCCTTCCCTCCACTACAGATTTATACACTCTTGAAGTCATTTTGTTTTGTTCCATTTTCTCTACATGTCCAAACCACTTCAACAACCCCTCCTCAGCCCTCTGGGTAATAGTTTTGGTAATCCCACACCTTCTCCTAATTTACAAACTATAAATTCTCTGCATTATATTCACACCACACATTGCCCTCAGACATGACATCTTCACTGCCTCCAGCCTTCTCCTCATTGCAACATTCATCACCCATGCTTCACACCCATACAAGATTGTTGGTACAACTACACTCTCATACATTCCCCTCTTTGCTTCCACGGACAAAGTTCTTTGTCACCACACTCCTAAGTGCACCATTCACCCTTTTCCCCTCATCACTTGTATGATTCACCTCATTCTTCATAGACCCATCTGCTGACACATCCACTCCTAAATATCTGAATACATTCACCTCCTCCATACTCTCTCCCTCGAATCTGATATCCAATCTTTCATCACCTAATCTTTTTATCCTCATAACCTTACTCTTTCCTATACTCACTTCTAACCCTTTCAGGGTTGAGAGGCTCTCTCCTAAACTCGTTCTCAGGGTTGAAAATTTTTCGGAAAAAAAAATTATTTTTTCTTATGAAATGATAGAGAATCTTTTCCCGATCATAACGACACCAAAAGTATGAAATTTGATGGAAAACTTACGGAATTATGCTCTCGTGAATTTAGCGGTCTCGGCGATTTCACCCACTTTGAGCCCTATTTTCAGTCAGTTCCTCTGTACTAGTCGACAAAAATCATATTTATTTCGCTAGAACTCCATTTTTGTCTATCGAATGAGTACAAGAAACCACCCATTTACCAATTTCAACTATCCAATAAAGTGGTTAGAAATTGGCAATTTTTCCAATTTCACACAAATTTCAGAAGATGCCACTTTCCAAATAGGGTCCAGACTAAACAAGAAAGACATTCCTGGCACTAAAATAACAAATTCTCTGTTCGTTAGTCATGTCCCCAGGCCCCTCTTACATTTCTTTTGCTTTCCACTTCGAATTTTTATTCTCAAAAAATGAAATATTTACCGTTATGCAGACTACTGCATTAGTGTAGAAATGGTATAAATAATATCAGCACACTTGTGAAGGAATATCAGGCTCACCAGTTGATGTGTATTGGATGCTTGGCATGATTTGTTTACTTTTGAATTTTGGTAAAAATCGAACATTTCTGCTACTTTGAGCTCAATTTCAAGGTACTTTTCATTGTGAAACCAATCAAAATCATCTCAGTTTCTGTAATATGTCTTCCATTCTATAAAATGAGACCAAGAAAACTAGAATACAACCATAAATACCATACGAAAATACAGTGCAAAGTCGCTGTTTTAATCCAAAAACATGGTCAAAGCTTTTTTTTTTCTCATTACGCACTGTGTGCTGCAGGATTTTTTTTATACTGCGCACACTGACCACAGAGACCCATTATTTCATATGTAGGCCTACCAGCTTTCTCTTGCTAGATTTGAAGGCGCTAGAATTTAGGCGTTCTAGTACGTCAATAACCCTGGTGCGTAAACCATACTAGTATGTACAGTGGACCCCCGGTTAACGATATTTTTTCACTCCATAAGTATGTTCAGGTGCCAGTACTGACCGAATTTGTTCCCATAAGAAATATTGTGAAGTAGATTAGTCCATTTCAGACCCCCAAACATACACGTACAAATGCACTTACATAAATACACTTACATAATTGGTCGCATTCGGAGGTAATCGTTATGCGGGGGTCCACTGTACATTGGAAACCCTGAAAGGGTTAATTTTCCTTTTTACATACCACACCAAAATCATCCACCAACCTCTGCAACTTCTCTTCAGAATCTCCCAAAAGCACCGTGTCATCAGCAAAGAGCAACTGTGACAACTCCCACTTTGTGTTTGATTCTTTATCTTTTAACTCCACACGTCTTGCCAACACCTGAGCATTCACTTCTCTTACAACCCCATTTATAAATATATTGAGCAACCACGGTGACATCACATCCTTGTCTAAGGCCTACTTTTACTGGAAAATAATCTCCTTCTCTCCTACATACTCTAACCTATGTCTCGCTATCCTCGTGAAAGCTCTTCACTGCTTTCAGTGTACCATATGGTAATAAACAGAATAAAGGAAATCAGCTCTAATATACATTTAGGTATGCATACCGGTTAGAGAGCCCGTCGTAAGTCTGAGTCGTTGGTAAACGAGTACATTGGTAAGTGAGGAGAGACTGTACTAAAAATGTTATAAATGGTGCAAAAGTAACGTTAAAACATTTTGAAAAATGGTCGACACAAACCCACTACCATTATAATATGCTCCTTGCTTAGCCAAGAATTCGTTTAATGACGTGGTCTTAGGAATGGAACTCCGTTGTTAAGTGAGCAGAGGCTATATTTTCTTAAGACATTATTTTAAAGGGGTTGACGGCATCATTTATTTTGAAAATTACTTTAATATGAGAGATGATTAATTGGGGACAACTTTATATGCAACTTTTTTTTTTTTTAGCACGTCAGCTGCTTCCTACCAAGGCGGGGTGACCCAAAAAGAAAAAAACTTTCATCATTCTACACTTGCACCATCACTCATACATACTCGCTGTCTTTGCAGAGGCACTCAGATACGATAGCTTAGACATCTCTCCAAACTGCCACTTCCCATTTCCAGGACTCAAGTGCGGCTAACTGGTTTCCCTGAATCCCTTCACAAAATATTACCCTTCTCACACTCCAACAGCTCGTCAGGTCCCAAACCCATCTGTGTCCATTCACTCCTATCTAACACACTCACGCACGCTTGCTGGAAGTCCGAGCCCCTCACTCACAAAACCTCCTTTACCCCCTCCCTCCAACCATTTTGGGGACGACTCCTACTCCACCTTCCTTCCCCTACAGATTTTTACACTCTCCAAGTCATTCTACTTTGTTCCATTCTCTCTAAATGACCAAACCACCTCAACAACCCCTCTTCAGCCCTTTGACTAACACTTTTAGGAACTCCACACCACCTAATTCTCTGCATAATATTAAACCACACATTGTCCTTAGACACGACATCTCCACTGCCTCCTCACTGCAGCATTTACAACCCATGGTTCACACCCATATACTTTCATACATTCTCTTTCTTGCCTCCATTGATAATGTTTTTTTGTCTCCACAGATACCTCAATGCACCTTTCACCTTCTTACCTTCATCAGTTCTATGGTTAATCTTTTTTTTTTTTTTTTTTTTTCAACAAGTCGGCCGTCTCCCACCGAGGCAGGGTGACCCAAAAAAAGAAAGAAAATCCCCAAAAAGAAAATACTTTCATCATCATTCAACACTTTCACCACACTCGCACATTATCACTGTTTTTGCAGAGGTGCTCAGAATACAACAGTCTAGAAGCATAAACATATAAAGATACACAACATATCCCTCCAAACTGCCAATATCCCAAACCCCTCCTTTAAAGTGCAGGCATTGTACTTCCCATTTCCAGGACTCAAGTCCGACTATATGAAAATAACCGGTTTCCCTGAATCCCTTCACTAAATATTACCCTGCTCACACTCCAACAGAT